CACAGCATTTCTTGAAAAGTAATTATAGATGCTTTGGCATGGACTATTTTGAGACAGAGAAATTTCTAAGTTTTTAAGATTTAGGCCATTCCCTTCTTATATTTTACCAGCCAACTTCCTATCACACATTATGCTTCTCTTAAAATCCTCTAAGAAGACTAAGATACAAGCATGTGAAAGCACAAAAAGAAGCTATTTCACTCAGCAGGACAAGAGTGACATACAAAAAAACTTGAGGAGATTTTTCTCCCGAGATACAAGGACAAGCTTCTTTATTTCTAGAGCTTAAGAGCAACAACTAACAAAGATTAATTATTGACTAAATATGCCCAAAAGGTTCCATGGAACATACCAAAAATTAAAACTTTTTTCATTCGTTTTCCTTACTGAGCAATTTTCCATATTTTCTTTGTCTTTGAAAAATAAGCCTACAATTTGTCTGCCTGTCACATTTTCCTCTAAAAGCAGTGAATTAGTTTTCAAGTGTTATGAAGATGCAGATTAGACAAAATAGGAAAAAATTACCACCTGTACTGTCACTTTACACACTGAAAACCAGAAAATTTTAAATTCATATAAACCCACTGAAAGTTCAAATTTAAAAATTTCTATACATCATAACCAAATACTTCACAAAACAATATAAAAAATGCTTTGGGTTTGGTTTTTAAAAAGCCATTAATTTCTAGTCTGGTCTTGGTTACTTAAGCAGGTATGCAGCTGAGCTGGTTGAAAACTGGTTCAACTCATAATATTTGGATCCAGATTTTTATAAAGTTTGAAAGCATTTGTAGATGAGATTTTTGTTCAGTCCTTCGGTGTTGGCATCTGAAGTGCCAGCTTCTCCAGACTTTCATTTGTTGCCTATTTCTAACATTAACAAAGTTACTTTAATACCTAGTTTCTTTTTTCCAGGGACTTACTACATAAAAATAATTTATATTTTCCGGACAACCTAATGTTAAGACTCTGAAAGGAATGAATGAGATTAGTCCATTTGCCTGAGCTATGAAGCTGCTATATAAGACACTGAGTGTCATTAGTGAAAAGACAAACCATTCTTTGTCTCTTAACCACTTTAGAAGCTTCCTAGAACTCTGTCTTTTGACTACATAAATAGCAAATACATCATCTGGCACACTCAAACCATCTACGTACAATGCCGTATGAATCACTGCTGATCCTTTCATATGCCATTTGCTTTATTGAGTGTGAATGGATCCAGAAAGAAGAGAAAAATCCACAATGATACTTGCAAATTATGTTTCCCTTGTTTCAGTGCATCATTTTTATTTTCAATTCTCTTTTTCTGTGCTATCACAGTGATACTAAACACTGATTAGATGACAGCAATTCAAATTCAAACCTGGTTTCTTCTATAGTTTTCTAAACCCAGTTAAAGTCTTGGTCAGAGGTCACCTTTTTTAAAATATTATAGTGGTTTAAAAGCCCTATTGCTTTGCATTCTATTAAATAGCTTCTGAAAAACAACTAGGGAAAGAGAATTTCAGATCATGTTCTATGGCTACATCTTGTTTTCCTTACAAGCAAAATCACTTGAGTGATTGCAGTACCGGTAGACACCACATGGTTTCAGCATGCAACAACCCTGAACACCAAGTCCGTCCAGAGCACTGGGAACGAACACTGGGTTTGACTGTATACTGATGCAGAATGCAGTGAGGGCCACAGGCTGGATATGCAGTAGGCTGTTGAACATGAACAAAGATTTCTGCATGCACACCTGCGCATGGTGTAACAAGAGCCATAGACGCAGTCTTACCAATGTTCTTTATTGATTTTCTGGGTGTGCTGGTGGCAGATACATGTTATTAGGCTCTTTAAATTATCAGTAGAGAAGAAATGCTTCCTAAACAAAATCTCTCCACCCTCTCTAACATCCCTGACACGAGAAACCCAGACAAATCCACTTTACAAATATCCTTATTCTAAAATTCTTTAACCAAGAAAAAACACTCTTTTACTACTCCATTATTTTTTATTGGCTGTTCTAAAATAAGCAGGAGCCTGAACGTGTATATTGCATGATTGTTATACTGCTATATCAATTTCACTTTATTCATGAATATCAATACAAATGGCCCAGAACTTGGCACAGAGATGCTTTGCTCATAAATTACAGTGTGCTTTTTCTGTGACTGCAGTCATATCATGTCCTTTTCTATTTAATTCCACTTCTATTTTGAATTCTGCACTCCCTCCCTTGCACAGAAAAAGAACAATTTCAAAGATAAATTGATTAATCATAGTAATTACTCATCTATACGATATGCACTTTTATCACATAAATACAAATAAAAGCGATGGTGTCTGTGGCCTTCCTCCACCAATAAGACATATAAACGCCACTATTAATTTTGTGATAAGAGCCTGAGTTGTTCAGGACACTTCTGAAATACACACACTGGAATCTTGGCCACCTTGAAATCATTGTGTGTTTTGACAATAGTCAACTGAGGTGCAGTTTCTTCCTTAAGCTTTACTCTGCTGGCTATCACTGAAACATACAACATGCATTTTTTTCTAGGATTGTGTTCAGTGTCTCTAACAAAGACTGTCTTCTAATTTGGAAATTGCAGTAGCATGACCCTTTCTTTTTTCAGATTTGTACAAACATGTAATGGCAATAACCATTGTTCTGACAAGTTTCAAACAGATGCTTCCAAGTAAAGGAAAACCACTAATCATTCTATTAATTACATATTAAAAATAGTTGGTTTGGGATTTTTTTAATTACACAGGTCAAAGACTAAGCATGAATAAGGACTTCTAGTGGCTTTTTTCTCATGCCCTCGCTGCCAGCACTGCTCCCGCGTTCTGCCTCTAGTCTCACAGTATTTTCAATTGTTATTTTCCCTACGTACTGTGCCATACACCACCTCACGCAAACACATACAATGCAATGTTTCTAATTACGCTTACAGTTAATGCTTCCAGAATCGTACTGCCGCAGTTCTGGTTAGTGCCAAGATTCATAAGATTACTTCCTCACATGAAACCTGTTTCACCTATGGCATAGACCTTAACATCATGGGATCTGGTGCTGAGTATAAAGCTTATTTGCACCGTATCTATGTTAGTTGAGTGAAACATGTCTTTGCTTGCAGATTGAAGAGGCAGCTGAATTTCTGTGAAGCTGTATTTATGACTTTCTCCATTGGTTCAAAAAGGTTTTAGAGCTGTTTATGGTGCTAAAGGATACAGTATTTTCTCTACAAATTTCTGCTGCTGCCAGAGCTTATGTGCCTATCCTAGTAAAAAAGTCTGACATGCATGTTAGGAAAGGCTAGAATTCTCAAGACTACTAAGTGGGACCCATGGGCAAATATCTGAGGGCAGGCTCTAGGCCCTCAAAGTTTTCATCAGAATTTTGCACTGAGCTCCAAAACCAACTGGGCAAGATGTCACTCAAAAAGGCACAGGAATATAAACTGTATTCCAAGACAGCTATTTTTGCTTGCATCAAGATTGGTAGAAGAGCACATGCTGCTCCTCCACACACAGCCTTTCACAAGGCTCTCTGCAGGAATTTCATCATCTCCAAGAGACCCTTGATCAGGCTGTGAGCCATTACCATGGAGGCTCTGTTTTCAAGGACTTCTCATCAATGAAATTTCAGATGATTTCAATGGCAACATTAATAAGCCCTGTGGAGTTACCAGCAGGACCAATATAATTATAGGGAATAACTACCTGCAAGTCCTCTGGTCAGTTCCCACAGTTCCCAAACATTTTTTACTCAGCTATACCTGAACTTTGCTTTGTTTGTTTCACCAGGAATGCAGATGTGAGGTTTTCTTCAAAACATATTGGAGAGTAGCTATTCTTCTTTTCATATTTGAGACATAAAAGGGGGACTTAGAGAAGAATATGGTTATCTGTCATTAGTGATAATTTTGCTCCTCTTTAGCGTAAAAAGTTTGTCTTCCACAAGCAGACAAAAATAAGGGATCCTTACCAAACCTGGTCACTTGTTACAAATAAAAAGTAGCTTCTAAATAAAGCAAATACTTCAAAACCAATCCACAGATGGAAGAAAGTATTTTTCAAATGATTACAAAGTCTATTTTTGGATATTTCATGGCTAGAAAACAGACTTAATTTATCAGAAAATTGTTGGTTTAATAACAATTTACCTACCTCTTGTGCTTAACAAGTGGCACAATCCTAAAACATGATTATGTCCTCTACGCTACAGGCTACTTTAAAATACTTTTTATTTAATATAACATTGTTACTCTGCAGAGCAAGTGAGAATTTCTGCAAAATTGTACACAGAATATATTCCTTTTACACTAATTAGAATCAAACATCCATACATTTATCATGCTTTCATATGTTCCAGTTTTTAACTCTTGAAAAACCACAAAACAATAGATGTTTTACTTTACCATTATACTGAAAAAGCATGAATACTGTTTGTAATGCTAGTGTAAGAGACACTGGCACAATACCACAATAAATCATGACCCATACGAAAACAAGATGATCTTAAACCCTTTATCCTAATAAGACTTTCTTAGCATTAAATAGCAACTCTAATCCCTTGGTCATTAATTTTCCCATGTTTCAAATCTGGATGTAATTAAGAACAATGCATTGCTGCCTATGTGGCGAACGAAATGTCATGCTGACGTGATTGATTATGTTTATTTAAACTGGAGATGTCTGACACTTTCCAGTGATACTTCATTCAATTTTTATTACTATTTTAGGCATCAAAATAAGCTTTTCATTTCCCCTGTTGTGACCCACTTAAATAGAACTTAAGAAGAATCTGACAAGCATTAAATGAAAGAATATTGATACAGTAGGTCTGTGGGTCTCTGGGCTATACAAGTCTAGTGAAAATAAAATCAGCTTTAATATTTTCACTTACTATTGTCAAGGATTTATTTAGAAAGCCAAGTCTAAACTATAATTATAAAACATCTAATACATACCTTACAAGCTGCTAATGACAAGAATTAGACTGGATAGAATTCATAATATATCCCATTTTATTACATGGCCTTTCACTGCAGTAGCAGGAAGCTCATTGCTTTATACATACTTTTTTGTATGTTTAAATATGAAAGATAATTTTCCCCATAGACACTGTAAGACAACAAATCTGAAAGTGCAAGGCAGTCTTTTTTCTTTCTTCATTTCACTCCTAATCAGACAGTAGTTCATATTCTTCTTATGCAACATTTGACAGTATTGACTGACCAGTATATGTAGGGATTTACCAAACAACAGGCACAACAGCAAAGAAGTTGAACCTAAGAGAAATACCTCTTAACAGTATCTTGCTGCCTTCATAAGCATTAAAGGCAAGAAGAATAACATTTAATATATAATTTTTCTGCATAAACTTTGCAAGCTCTCCTTTAAAATACCCAGTATTCCTTTGTGTAGGAGCAGTCAAAGAAAAATTGCCAAGATCTTAGAGTGGGTACCAAGGGACCACATATACCATCTGTAAAGATGAAACAAAATTTAATGAGAAATCACAGCTTAAGGTTATAACTTTCCAGCTGGTTCTGAGGGGCCAGTCTAAACCTGTACAGCTCCAAACCAACAATCCCAATGCCCAACCCCTGTACTTTCTTACTGACTGCCTTGTGGCTGCATAGAGACCTAAGGCAGGGAACCTATTTCGCCAGAAATGTCTTTCTGAGGCATTATTTTCCTGTCAGATTGGATCAATATGTACAACTGCTACTGTCAGCTGAAGGCTGACAGCAGAAATATACAGTAAAGGGGAGGAAGGGGAATATTTTCTTCCCATAACAACATCATCCCAACAGCAAAGCTTAGAAAATTATTGCTGAATCCTGAAGTTAACCTGGAAAGAGTGAAGCATCTGCTGTTGGCTATTTCTGCACTATGTGAAGAAGAAAAGGTTGATAGGAAGAAGGAAATTATAGTTAACTTCACATGAAAAAGGTGTACTTTGAATTTTAAACTACGGTTCTTAGGGTGTGCAGCATTAAGACACAGCACACCAGTCAAAGATTACTCTTACTCTACTGTATCTCCCAGCATGAGTGGCATTCTTTAAGAGGTGAACCAATCAAAGGGTAAAAAGCATGATTTGTTTTCATTACCAAAATAGCGTTTATAATCACAGCCAAAGAAGTACAAGGTAATGTCATTTTCTCGCAGTTCTGTTGGGCTAAGCCTGACTCTACATCTTCCTGCTATGCACAGCATTCTCACCTGTGTCAAGGAGTTGCAAACCGGGCCAAAAAAATCTACTGATACATATTTTAAATAGGTTACATTCTTTTCAGATAAATTTTGTCATTCATCATGAGTGCAGTGTACCTGGCAGTAGGGTAGCCTTATGAGCAGTAAATTGAGTGAAATTAGCATTTGAATCAATGCTATGTGAAGATAACAGCCTGCAATAATCCTATTTAACAGCTGTTAATTGTCTGCTATAAACCACAGTTCAGCAAATTTTGATCACACAACTCCCTAATATGAATGAAGAAAATATACCAACCGATGCACAGAAAGAAATGGAGATGCACATCTTCAATTCATTGTAAATATAGATTTTATGCAGATACCACATCTCCTAACTACATGTAAATCATAAAACATTGTCTATATGCAAATATTCCCCAAAACCATTACACATTAAAAAAAATGGTATCTTCACTTATTTATAGGGAAACATTTGGTTTGTCTGCCTTAACAGCAAAGATCATTCTTCAAAGTTATGATCATGTTGATAAGAAAATGTTTATGTTTCTGTGTGTTGCCCACATCCATGGAGGCAAAGGCATTACCAGTTCATCAGTATACCATTTTTCCCTACCACAAGGAGACTTCCAAGGCAATGAAATGCCGCAGTTCCAGCTGCAAGACAAAGGGATGCTTCTCCATCTTCTCTGATACTATTCTACTCACATCCATTACTCAGTCTGAAGCACACACTAGAAGAGCATATTATTCTGGAAGTCAAAGCATCCTACAGAGGAAGATTAAACTTCATAAACAGTGTTTAATCTTTTATCTGTAGCCAAGCAAGAATAGAACCGTACTGGTTGGGGGGAAAAAGTTAAAAAAACCATAAAAATATATTAAAAAAAAAAAAGAAGAAAAAAATCATAGACTAGGCATTACGATATCCTGGCAATGCATATGTCTATTAAAAGAATTCATTTTCAACACAATGTGAAAGACATATTCTTGTCACGTATCGGAGACAGGATAGCAGGAATCTATAGCTGTCTCTATCAAATGCTGCAAAGATAGGCAGCAAAATATCTATAGCTAATTTGTCTTTTTCTAAGAACAAGTAGATACAAGTACTTTATCTGCCAGGTCCATATCTTCTGTCTGACATCTCAGCTGAAAAGGGACTAAGTATCATGGTAGTATCTTATGGAGTTGCAGGTAATTAATAGGACTTTCTTCAATAGTTTCTTGGTAGTATGAATTTTACAGCACTGATGGGTGGTTTCCAAAAAGACTGGATGCCAAGGAATATTTCATTTTTTTCTGCTTAAAAACCCTATGATATCTTATCTTAAAAGGCTTAAGGTTGTCCTTTACTTTTTCTTTTATCCAAGAGAACAGTTTATAAGCAAAAGTGACAACCGTGATGTTTGTTAACTAATCAGCACTCAGTTGACAGGATATACTATCCACAACACTCTTCCCAGGAAGTTAGACTTTTCTTTGATTCCTCCTTCAATTCTCAATATACAAGATCTGCAAGAACTGTTTACCCTTGCTAAAAGAATGAAGTGTGAATGGGCTCATCTAGATCACTGCAATATTCCTGTGGAAGCTTCCTTTTCTTATGAAAGTGTCCTCAAACTCTCTTTCAGTCCTCTTGTCCCTTTCTGTTTTATATTATTTTATTTCCTTACTTTTTATACTTTCTCATATAGTTCTTTCATTACAGTCTTAGAAGTCAAGGCCCCAGTCTTGGGTTTCATTCCCTCAACTTCCACTGTTTGGTTTTTTTTAGAATTCCAACAACATTCTTGTTAATGTATGTATTCTTGTATATACTCTCTGGTACAGCATTTGACTTCAGCACTTATGTCCATTTTAAAGTTAGCAACTGTGCCATGTATGTTCAGACTGGTAGCCTATTCATCACCTGCTACAATGGCACCCACTGATTTAATGAAGGAATTCCTCTGAGCTAGAGGTCTTCATTAAGCCCTTTAACTAACCTATGTGCACTCTAAAACATTCTAAAGCTTCTGCAAAGTAATGTGATCTATTGTAACTCTTCAAAATTCTACTTGTTGCCACACATTGCCTCATTATAGATTGCTTTCAGAGTATGAACAGCACCATCAGTTGGGATATTTTGAGAGGGTTGTTTTCCTGAGGAGCAGAAAGTTACGACGGCTTGAACATAAACTCTGGTTATCCCACTCTCTTCTCTAGTATAGTTTGACTGACCAATCTGCAAGATTGTATTTTTAGTCATAAAGTTCTCCCTGCTTTCACTTTTTACTTTTGTGTTACTTTTGAAAGAACAGATTTAGGAAAGGTTGCTATTTAACAGCAAAGGAACTGTTTCTCCAGACTCTGCCAACAGTCCTGTACTTCCGTATCAGAGCTTCCTTCTGTGCAGAATTAGAAGTGATGCAAGTAATTTAATTTGTGTTACTCCTGGTATCACACAGTTACTTACCCAGATTATCTTTCAATGCACCTTTCTTAGTAAAAAAAACAGAGGATAAACTTTCATTTTTAGTTTATTGTAAGAATGTATTTAACAGTTCTCCTGGGAGAGTGAAAATCTTGTACTACTGACCAAACTGAAAGTGAGAATAAGAAGTGACTCCCCACAAATGAAAGCCACCCCCCTTGTTTATACCAACACAGTTTTGATAAGGTCAGCATGGCTGACCTATAGACAGCTCCAGCCATGATCTCAGCTGATGCATCACAGGCTCACAAGACAGTGAAACCTCTTGGCGAGTAAGCATGTGTCATTAAAGAGTTCAGCAATGTAAATTTAAGATACAAACTCAACAGTCAGTTGCAGTTCAGAGCTTGTATACTGCCAAATATATTTATTGCTGCTTATGTGTTCAGATTGCTGTTTCAGCACAGCCACATCAAGTTTCTTCAAGCTCAGATCACACCTGAGGCTATGATACTTAAATTGGTTTCCATTTAAAGGAGAAGGATTTCAAGGCAAAGTGCAAAGACAGTATCTCTCCTTGGTTCTTCTAGAATGAGTGGCACTTTGAGGCTGTCACAGCCACAGTATTCCACAGGGGTCTTCCTACTCACGAAATCTGTCTGCTTTGCAGACTTTGATGAATCATCCCCCCAGCTGGCCAGGCACACACACATTTCTGGAGCAGAGTTGCTTCATGCAGTTTCCAGCAAGGAGACTGGGCCCAGCTATCACAGCATTTTAACTGTACAATCAATCTGGAGGAACCAACAGCATAATTCTGTAGTGATCTAAGTTGTGAGAAGACTCAGAGATGGATTCCTTATCTGTAATTCAGGAAGTGGGCTATCGTTTCTGCCAGCATCCTTCATTTTCAAAACTCTCTGCCTGCCTTACCCAGGTTAGTTTTCTGCATTTCCTTATGGCTGCTTCCCTTGGGTCACTTCCTTTAAAACCTGCCCACCGAGGAAGGAGAGGAAGATGCTGGCTACATCTGATATTTACTAACTGGAGGTTTTAAATATTTACCTTTTAGATTAAGAATGAGGTGTGAGCAACTGCAGATTTCCTGTGGGTGGGCTGAAGACAAATTTTAACTCTTACTTAAATATAGATCATTCAGGATGTAGCACCATAGTTGACTATGGTCAGACCAAAAATCAAATAAGAAAAAAAGCATCTGTCGAAGTGCTGATTTGACATAGTGAGCAGCCATACAAATACTAATGCTAGTGCAAGGGAAGCAGACAGGAATCTGCAGCCAGAGATAAATGGTGGAGAGGACAAGACAGGACTTCCCGTCTCACTGGCAACAGAGTCTTAAATTGACTAATGCAGGATCAGAGGGGCAGCATTAAGGCAAGTGGTTATTGTAGAAATATGACACTGTGCCCCCACATTTTTTACTATAATACATGGACAGTCAAAGACTCTATCATAACATTTATCTAGGCAAGGAAAGAAAACATACTAAATCATACAAAAGAAAGAACATTAGTAAATCTGCAAAGTCAAGTACCTGGAAATGAAGATAAAACATTTTTCTTTGGAACAGAAACAGCCTAGAAGCTTTATGTTTTAACAACTTTGCTTCTTGGTTAGACTTGTGTCCAAGTTTCCTCTATCCGGTTTAGATCCCATATACTTTTCTCATAATTCCCAATGCATGATGTATTCTGCATGAGAAGAGAGAAAACACTTCCTCTAAATGGCTGTACTTATAAATACAATAGGACTTCTTTTGTGTGGGTAATTTTTAGACCATCAGTAATCAACATGCACTTGTTGATGTGGACATATGGGCAAGAAACTCCAGATTAAGATGAGAATGGATGTAAAGCCTATCTACTACACAATGCCTGTGAATAGGCTCTCACACTACATAAAAAGGAGAGGGCAGGCTTACTCTTCATGCAGCTTCTTCATGTCCATAAGGGGAGGAGATAGCTCATGGCAAATCAGCTGATGTGTTATCACATACAGCCATGCCTTGGCTTCTCCCAAGGTTACTTGCCTGTGCCTTTCTCCTACCTCAGATTAAATTCATCCAGTCTACTAAGAAGCAATACTGAGAGCCAGAATCAAAAGGCAGCTATTTTAACCATCCTCCAGGGGTCTTGGGCAGACCCATTAAATCAGGGAAATGAATACAGCAAACTATTTCAGCTCGCTGATGCATGCAGTAGATTGCTTGAGTATGTTAATTACTGCCTTTGGCTGAATATTTCCAGAAATGTTAACACAGAATCTGGAAATAAAATGTCTCCTGGCATCACAACAGCGTTTTCAGATACCACACTCAGATGTGAAGCATTAGGATAAGTTGCAGGAAAAAAAAAAAACAAAAAAGAAAAACAAAGTATCATGCCCCCAAAAAATCATAAAGAGCTACAAACCTAGAAAAAAAAAAAAATCAACTACCAGCTAATCACCTTTCATCACAGGAGACATATTCTGTACCATCATCTATGGCACCTAGGTGCAAAACCTGAATTTAGTCCCTCAGATCCCTTGTTAGACCCTGGAGGCACACTTAACCTCACTTTAGTTTTTGCCAATAAAGCCCCTCACGCTTCAGTCACTGAAGCACAGAGCACCTGAGGCTGCTCAATACTAAGCTGCGTATTGTTTCTCCCATGCCAAGGATGGGAATTCAGAGGTTAGGTAGTTTACCATCCAACTTCCCTGTTGGGCCAAATCCATAGTCAGGCAGGCCTTTTGAAAACCACTTTCTACGTTTCCCATATTTCCAAATCCCAGAGAATAAAGGTTCCTTTATTTGACGCTGGAGACAGAAACCAAATACAAATCTCCCATATCTCAGAGGATGAGATTGAAAAGATATTTACTGTACCACAGAGAGAAGTGCAGACTTTTGGGGAGTTCAGCTGTGCTGCAGGTGAGTAGAGACCTGACTCCAGAAATTATTATTCATAGAACAAACAGCTTCAACAGAAAAGACTGAAAGAAATAAACCTAAAAATATTTTATAGGGAGAATTTTAAAGATAAATGACAACAAACTAAATGCCAATGAGCCACCTGCATATAAAAAAATAATGTATCTTTTTGTAATTATGCATTAATTTGAAATGATAACTTTAAGAAAAAACTATATATATATTGCAAAATGCACAGCATGCATTACTCCCATTTGGGTTTTACTATTTTAATAGTAAAATGATATTGTTAAACTCATAAAACTGTTACTACTTCATACCTGTTTCTCCATAATGCCTTCTAATTTACATGAGCTCAGTAAGATCATAATCCCGGGCTGCATCAAAAGGAGCGTGACCAGCAGGTCAAAGGAGGTGATCCTGCCCCTTTACTCTGCTCTTGTGAGACCTCACCTGGAGCATTGTGTGCAGTTCTGGTGTCCTCAACATAAAAAGGACATGGAACTGTTGGAACAAGTCCAGAGGAGGCCACGAGGATGATCAGGGGAGTGGAGCATCTCCCGCATGAAGACAGGCTGAGAAAGTTGGGGCTGTTCAGCCTGGAGAAGAGAAGGCTGCATGGAGACCTCATAGCAGCCTTCCAGTGTCTGAAGGGGGCCTATAGGGATGCTGGAGAGGGACTCTTCATTAGGGACTGTAGTGATAGGACAAGGGGTAATGGGTTAAAACTTAAACAGGGAAAGTTTAGATTGGATATAAGGAGGAAGTTCTTTACTGTGAGGGTGGTGAGGCACTGGAATAGGTTGCCCACAGAAGTTGTGAATGCTCCATCCCTGGTGGTGTTCAAGGCCAGGTTGGACGAGGCCTTGGGTGCCATGGTTTAGTGGGAGGTGTCCCTGACCATGGCAGGGGGGAGGAAATGGATGATCTTAAGGTCCTTTCCAACCCTAACTAATCTATGATTTTGCTTGAATAAATGGATTTAAGGAATAGGAAATAATCTCCTATGATAGCTAAAAAAAATAACCTATGTCAGCATTAGTGGCTTGGGAGATCTGTACAATCTGAGAGTCCTGTAACCTAGAAAAGTACAGAACCCTAATCTTGCAGAGGTTACAATGACCCTGGCAAAGAAAGACACAGTATCACCTAGTAGCACACTTGCAAAGGGGGCATGGAGAAAAGAATATATAACAGCAGTGCCAACACTGTCTTAAGCATTTTAAAGAACCAGTAAAATAGTCCCTTGAAGGACCATCATGCTCCATGTCTACCAAAATGAACAGACAGTCTTCAGCTCAGCAGCATTAACTAAGAGGTAACTTCTAGATATATTCTATTTGCGAGTACTAGTCAGTACTGCAAACAAGAGAGCTCTTCCTGAAAATGCCCTCCTTCCCACATGTATTTTGACTCCTAACTGCATTTGTGATTTTAAGTTCCTTCTGTTCAAATACTGATAAGTACTTGCTGTAAAGCGGTAACGATAAATGCAGAAACTAATTAACCTATTTAACTTGCTACTGCATGATGACACAAAGTCAATTGGCCATGGAAATGTTATCTGAAAGTTCCAAAGCAGCGCTGGCTTTGGAAACAACAGCAAGATAGATTCAGGCATCAACAGAGACCATCATACCAGTACCATTACACAAAGTTATTAGAGGAACATGCTTTCAGTATATAAACTCTGTCAGATTCTTCTGACAAAGAAACTCATTTAAAAGATCACAACCAAGCTCTCTCGAGCATTCAGTTAAATAATGGGTGGTTTTCTTCAGCTTCTGCCAAGAGAAAGGAAAAATAGGGTAGTGTTGAAAGTGTAGGTCATCTGGAAGGAAACACTGACTGTTCTAGCTGCAGACTAGACTATTTTAACCTTCTTTTTTTTTTTTGCCCAGCACATCCCAAGCACTTATCTGAAAATATGCCATGCTGTTCACAGAGGTTAACTCCACCACCTTTCCTTACTAAATATTTGTTAATTATAATGCTACTATATCCTCAGTGGAAACTGCAAAGTACAGGCTGACCAGACATACTTTCTTCCAGGTTTATTTAAATGAAAATGTTATTGTTTTAAAGAGGAAATCTGCTCAGTGCAGATATTTCCTCTTATGTTTCACATGTTGGGTTGTTTTGAGTTCCTTTTCTCAAATCAAAGTACTTTGACACATTCGAGTCACATTTGGTAGTTATGTCAGATAAGTCAAGGAGGCAGCACAGGCCCAGAGAAAGTTAGATTTAAATAAGAATTTAGATTTGAGGCATACCTGGGGCTGGGGTTCATATTGACACTTGGCAGCAGTAAAATTAATTATAAATTAAAGCAGTAGTAATATCCTGATGAAGCTCTTCATCCAGGATTTTTACCCTTCTGGACACTGACATTTCACCAAACCACAACTACAAAACATTAGGATGTTCCAACATTCATATTATTTCCAGAAAAGTGGATTTCTACTTTTGAGGTTCCATTGGGAGTAAAGGCTTTGGAGATACAGTATAGAACATACAGAAATACCCAAATGATCTCATGTCAAATCATACTCATTTCACCAAGATGGTTAACAGGTGTTAAAACTCTTTCATTCCATATAAACAATCATTAACTTCATCAGTTGAAAAAAAAAAAAAGAAAAAATTATCTACTTAATCTTCCTCAGGAAAGGATGTACCAAATATCTCAGCAGAAACTGAATTCTCTTCAACAAAATATCTTGCTTAAAGATAATATTCAATTCCTAAGTTAATGTACTAGCCTGTAGGTCTCTATTAAGTGGAAGGAACAGATGCAAACTGAACTGACTCCTTTTCTCTATTAAATTATACCAGTTCTATAAATGTTTCTACCACACAGTCAAAAGGGAACATTGAAATTGCTGCTCACTATTACAGCCACATCTTTAGGTACTCGTGGTGGATTTTGTCCTAAAACACCATTTTATTAAAGCTAAAGGATAGATCTGTAGCATTTGTTTGTAAGCATATGCCTTTTGCTCACCGGTAAACTTGGTTCACACTTTTCTATTCCCTAACAGGCATCTGGGTAGCTTTTGATGTCAGATTCAATTCCAGCTGTAGTGGTTGTTGTTCTTTCAATAGGTGAAATGAACCATGCAGGTGAAGCTTAGCTTGAATTTTGAAGTATGCTATTAGAATCTGTTAGCAACCATAGCCTAATCAGCACAGCCTTGAACACCAGGTAGTTAATATAAGTCTTGACTGAGTAAAAGCTAAGGATGATACTAACCTAATACGTCTGCACAAAGTCCAAGATGATTTTAGCCACAAAAGGAGCCCACAGAAAAATGGATCAAGGATGAGGAAATACCTAAGAAAAATGTTTCTTCTCAGAGAAGCATAGATGTGCAGCCAGTAGGACTGGCACAAACAACTGGCTTGTACATTTCAATCAATGTGGATCAGATAGGTAAATTCAGTTTACATTGTCCAGCCCAGGTACAGGTGATCCAGGATGTTTTGGATATTTCAGATATTGCAATATCTTGTGGAAGCATGTTTTTTCTAAAAGTTTTACGTTGAGAGAAAGCAGAGGGGAAAGGGAGAAGGGAAAGGATAAGGAGAACATGCAGAGTAACAACTTTGAGGTCTAATATTGCATCAGATGAAATCCCAAATTATTACCAAAACTTCCTTGAAATATTTATTTTTATTTTGTTTGTGTTTACTTACTTTATCTCAGTTATTTCTTTAAGAATTCAGAAATCAGCAATCATATCAAGGCTGCTGAAATTTGAATGTAAGGAAACAGTC